GCCTGATCAAGGCTCTCAAGCCGTTCTATCAGCGGTCTACCGAGCTAACTTTGGTGTAACTGCGTCTCCAAAGTCTTTGTCAGATAATACAGTCAAGGTCCCCGCTTCATCCATTTCATTTATCTTTTCTTCAAAGTGTGTAATATTGATATAACTGACCTTTGGAAAGAAAATGAGTAAATAGGTAAATCATAAGCACGTAACAGAAGTAATCCCAAACAAATAGAAAGCCTTTGTAACCTACTCCAATTTAGTTTGGGGTTGGATCGGAAAGCTCGTAAAATCGAAATCAAATCCTCTTATAATCTGTTATTAGGAAACTTTCATCACATCACTGTGGTTTTCGAAGTAAAATGAAAGATACCTGGAAATAAAAAATAAATATAAAAACTTCATTAAAAATTTATGAAAAGCTACAATTGAAATTTGAAAAAAAAAGCCACTAAAAAATGCTACACTTAAGATTTACAATGTCAGGCGCATTTCTAACGGCATTATCTAGGTTGTTCTAATCTTTCAGTCAGAGAGTGATTACACACTCGCTGTTCACTCCAATTTTTGGCTGCAAGGGGTAGTCTGAGCATGTTTCTATTTCTTATGTTATAATTATGTTTGCTAGTAGCTCTATTGAGTGATCCATAAGGCTATTAAGAAACATGTAAACATACATGTGAACAGCGATGATAAAATCTACGTTGTTCAAGGTTGAGCCACTTTAAAGTTACTAGGGCATCAGTAGCTGACGAATAAAGTGGACTGTTTAGTACGATTTTGCGGCCTTGCTCTACAAAACCTGCAGGTCATTCATAAGAGACACGTTGTTTTTGTCTTGTTTTCTAGTTGACGTATAATGCGGAAGACCTTCTTATTCCAGCCCATTTAGTGTCCTATAAAGAGGAATTATCCACCAAGATTACCACATTTCTTCTTCTACTCCCTCTCCCCCCTCTCCACTTTCCCTCCCCCTCCCCTTCCCCTCCCCCAGAATTATTAGTTGGGACACTTGTTCACAGCAACCTCTTTGATGTTCTGTTGTCCCTCATCCACTTCCAATGTTGTTAATTGCAAATGTATCCATGCCATCGTGCAGACCAACGTTGAAAGGGGCAGGGGGAGGCCGCAAGTGTCCAAGAATATGTGAATAGGAGTGTAGCGTGAATACCTAAGGTTATATGATCTTTCAACATATTCATACCGCGGACTCGCTCAAGATTGTATGGAGGTTTGAATAAAGATATTTAAAAGTTGGACGATCCTCCGGAGTCCGTTGCCAGCACTGAAGCATAATGTCATACCTAAAATAAATAAATGAATAAAAAAAATAAAAACAGAAATGGGAGAGGACGAAAAAAAAAAACAGATAGAAATGTCGTGCATATGATTAGCGGATCCTGGTAAATTAACTATTTCCGCCTCATACCTTTAGCACCTATGGCTTATTTAGAATTAAAATACATGTGAGGATTCAGTCAAACACAAAAATAGTGTCTTACACCAGTAGAGCTCCTATCCGTAACAAATGCCACACCCATAGCCAAAAATTTCAAAACTATTTGAGTTCTGTAAGTTAGTTTTATAAATAACTTACAATATTTTAGAGCAGTGCGGTGGTTTCTCGAGTCTAAAACCATCCTGTAACATGGTGTAAAGTTCCACAATGCCTGTAACTCCATAGTAAGGTCGCTCGCCTGCAGCGGAAATTTCAATACAAGTAAAATTAAAGTTTCACAGTTTTCAGAAGTGTTACTTCTCGGGAAAACTGAAATATATTTTCAGACAAGATGGAATGGAGTGTGTTTCATCAGCTCTATGGTGCAAAGTGTGCACCTTTCTCCTCGTGTACTCACCGAGAGTGACAATTTCCCACAGGACGACGCCGAAGGACCAACTAAAAATGATTCAAAACATAACGACTCGAGGCGACACTCTACCTTTTGTTTTTTAATTAAGATTAAGCTTTAATTCATAATCACTACTAAACCATATGTTTTATTATCATTATTAATATTAATATTGTTATTATTACTATAATAATTATTATCGTTTTTTAACAAAAAACTGTATACACCAAAATTGCTCATCTAATACTTTAAAGAAATACTCAAATGTGC